CCCCCTTTGGGAGCTTGTTTCTTATCAAAAGAAAACATCTTAAATCAGCCTGCATGAATAGTTTCTCTGTGGCTGCACCACAGAGATGAACAGAGAAATGGGGCCTCATTTGGGAAGGCTCAGAACACTTAATTCTTTCTTATTAATGAGCCTCGCCGCTACATCTGCAAGGTGTACACTCTTTGTGGAAGAATTTTCACCTGGAACGTTTGCCTACCGGCTAACACACAGAAGCAAACTGAATACAAAATGAGCTTGCAAGAATAACAGTTACAAACATTAAAAAACATACTTGCTTTATACTGTTATACTGTACAGTATATTAAAACTAACACTCTATGGGCACTACACTGTGAGCAACACAGCCCACTAAACCTCTTTTTCCCACAATTCCACGGGGGCAAGGTGATTCACAGCTGGATACAATTTTATCTTGCCTCTTGAAAGCAAAAATTCAGATATTTGTCAACATATTTGCTAACACTATCCATCTCGGTAATCTCATTGCACATTCTGGTGCACACTAAATGTTTACACTCTCAGTAAAGTAAAAAAAACTTCTTTCCATATTGTCACCTAGCACAAGGGGGTAAAGAAAAGTGCCGGCGGTAATTTTTTTCACTCTCCCAAACCCCCTGGACAGACACAGTTGATTAAAACTCATTCAACAGGGTGTTGTGTGTTAACACAAACTCTGCTTAACAGAGCTGCTAGTAAGAGCAAGGTGACTTTCTGCTCAATTAAATAAACCTACAGTATAGACAGCTTTTAAGTGTTTGTCAAAATCAGCTGCTTTGCAAGTAGTACATGACTTCTCAAAAGGTACCTTTTGACTCTCGTGCAAACTCAACAAAGGTTTATTTTTTCTATTTCCGAAATTTGAACGCTATGCCTCAGGGACTCATTATAGTATTGTAGCGAATACGGTTTGCGCAGGGAAATCAAAATACCGCCGCCCTTCCAGCCGGGTCTCACCTCCCGCTGTTCCAAAGTATATGTGAAATGTCTTTTCTTACTCCAGTTATTAATCCAATCTATTTTTACTCATCCGGCTATGTAAAAAATATAGCCAAAAGGATCGCTGTAAAGGTTAAATTCCAAGCTGAAAAGATAAGATTCAACATGTCTTCCCTAACTCTTCAGTTTACAGCTCGTCCATGGTCATTCATTATTAATATTGTAACGAACGGCAGGCATACAGATGGTACAAGCCAGTTGCGGCGCGATGACAGTACACCTCTCTACTCTTCTTTGCATAACAGGGATGTTGGCTGCATGGGTTGAAGAAGATCTGTAGCTCAGCCGTCAAAACCTCTGTTGTGCTACACAAGAGACCAGGGTTCGAACCCATGTAGTGAAGGATGAACCGGGACAGGAACAGCGAGAGCACAAGCCCAAGAACCTGAATTTGTTACAATATTATTAATTATATATGCTATATTGCATTTAAATTTGAATTTATTTACAAATATATGAAGAAGCGAAACACAACGTGTAAATATAACCCTTTTCCCTCCTTTAATTTAGTGAAGAAATCCTAAATCATGGAACCATCACTTATAATAATTCATCCAGATACACATGCTCACACCGTAGCCAACAACAAGCTACAATAGTGGACTATTTTTATATATTCGGCTATGTAAGAAACACTACCACTATAAAGGACAATAATATAAAAAATGAACGTCAGATGTTTCCAAAATGATCCCTTGTGATGTTTTAGCTGCTTATTACAAGACTCCATAATTATATTGCTATCAAGTATTTTAAACGTTTAATTAAAAAGTAAAAATCTTACAGCGTACACAAAGATTCTAAGCTGATTACGAGGAAGAAAAATCATCTGTTTGTCACACATAAAAAGTGTTTTTTAAGTATCTAAGACAGTTCTTTACAGCTTTTAAAGTTTAGTTTTTCAAAATAAAAAAAAATAGTTTGCCCATCATATTGGTAATCTGTTGATAAGATGTTCCCTGATTACTGGCAATTGTAATAATAATAATAATAATAATAATAATAATTGCTTACACTTATATAGCGCTTTTCTGGACACTCCACTCAAAGTGCTTTACAGGT